TTGCGAAAGTACCGCCGTTCTTGTGCAAGGGTTCTTGTGCAAGAAGGCTTGTGCAAGAACACGTCCACACTGCCATGTGCGAGCTGTGCTTTTGCGCAAGAGCGCCCATGGCTGTGTGGACGCTCTCTTGCACAAGAAAGCTCTGATGGCCACTTTAGCCAGAGGACTTTCTTGAGCAAGAAATCCCAGCCAAGCGTCCACACTGCCCTCTTGCACAAGAGCTCCTGCACAAGAAGGCTTACACCTGATAAAAAAAGAGCGTAGCGCTTGCAGAAGGAGCCCTCTCTTACCACGCCATACTGTAAGTTTCCTTGTGCAAGAGCGGGCGGGCAGTGTGGATGCTCTGTACTCATGCAAGAAGCTGCGAGTGTAGACATAGCCCTAGTGTGGTTACTGAGCAATGCAAGTGGTACCTAGACCACAGCAACAGTTAAGATCACGAGACCTCTACAACAGGGGCTGGGAGCCAGCTGGCTTTTAGCTCAGAAGGTAGAGGCTCCTATACTCAGCTCCCAGGTTCAAATCTACCTGGTGGTGGTTGCAAAGGAAATGGGACCAGGCAGGAGCATGGTGATCAGCATGATGAATGGTGGGGGAAATTCTTGCAGTTTGGGACAGAACCCCAGGGGTCTGTGCCAGGGACGCTGCAGCAGCATTGAGGCAAGGCTGGGAGAGTTACTAACCTGCCCTACCCTTGGAGCTAATGGAGACGCTGCTTTTTAAAAAAGGTTTTGGAATGTTTCTGCCAAGTCAGCAACTGCCGGCCGGTCAGGGAAGGGCCTTATCATCTGAGCAATCATCCAGCCACAATGAGATGGTGTCGAGGCAGGTCAGAGAGATGTTCTGCCTCCCGGGGCCCTCTAACGAGCAGGCGATGAGAGGAACAGGTGACAAAGGGCTCCTGGATGATTAGTTTAGGCCATTTTGTATCGCCGGGCTTTCATCCAGGGTTCCTAAGCTGCCGGGAGTGCTTGACTCTGCTGCAGTGATTTGGAGTCTGTAAATAGCGAATTGCCACTCATCGGAGAACACTGAGGAGAGCATCGTGGGCTTCCCAGGAGCTCTGATCTGCAATCTTCTTAGTCCTTTGAGGCCAGGGTGGCACAATATGGCCTGCATCCCGCAGCTCTGCTGAGAAAGATCATGCCGCCCTGCCTGCTGCCCGGCATCAATCCGGAGAGGGCTGGCAGGAACTCGGCATGGAACAGCGACGCGGCGGCTCGAATGCACAGGGCTTAGATGCCATTGTCACAGGGATTCCTGTTGCACCCGGCGCACAGAGAGAAGTGACAGTGCTACCACTTGCCGGAGGTGTGACGCCTCTGAACAATTCATGCTGCTTGTGGCTCTTGTGCACTCACCGTGCAAGGCGGGGGCACAATTAAACGGGTGTCCAGTGAGCGATTTTAGTGCAATCGTCTGGGGTTCACGTTTCCAAACCTTTCAGACCGACGGCCACCCCGCACTGGTCTGAGAGCGAGGAGGAGGGAGAGGGGGTGCGTAGAAGCAGAGTCTGATTGAGCTCGCTGCACAAATGAATCTCATTGTGTCTCTCTCTCTCCCCTGTGCAGATGAGGTGACAATGAAGGAGATGGGGAAAAACCAGCAGTTGCGAGCTGGGGAAATTCTCATCATTGTCGTGGTGTTGTTCATGTGGGCAGGTTGGTAAACGTCCCAGAGTCGAGCTCATTGAAAGAGGGAGAGTGTGTGTGTGTCTGTGTGTCTGTGTCTTTCTGTGTGTGCTTGTGCGTCTGTGTCTGTGTGTGTCTCTGTGTGTGCTTGTGCATCTGTGTCTGCGTGTGTCTCTGTGTGTACGTGTACATGTGTGCGTGTCTGTGTGCGCGTCTCTGTGTGTGTGTGTCTGTGTGTGTCCATACACAAAATCCCTACCCTGGCCCCTCATGCAGCATTGCATGTTTGGATACAAGTACACTTCACCTTCCTCTGTAGTATCAGGAATTGGCGCTGCTGGAGGCAGGCTTTGAAGTAATCTCATTTAGTACGGCAGGCGGTAGGAGAATGGATTTAATGAACCAATTGTCTGATCGGCTGAGGCAAAATCTACATTCTCAGTCCTTCCAGCCAACAACTGAACCCCGCACCTGATACCAACCCGTTGGCCCCTTCTGGCTCATTAACAGGACACAGCCCAAGTAAAACCTGTCACTCTCGCTATACGTGGCTCATGACATGCCGGCAGGTCACACACAAGCCAACAGCTCTTGGGAAGTGTGGTGAGATTCTAAAGACAAACATCACAAACTAAGAGTGAGTTACGACCTCCTGTCTCATTCTCGAGCATCCACCATTCTATTGTTATGAAAATCCACGTCGAGATCTCTTAAAACAATTGAATTGTTAAAAGAACAAAGGATTTGGAGCAGCCAAACTCAAAATATCAGGCCAGCAATGAACCAGAAACCTCTTAAAATCTGGTATAAGAATAAAAAAAAATTGTTTAAAGAGCAAATTTCCTGCACAGAGGAGAGCAAAGCTGGCTGATTCTGCATGGAATCTCACCAATGAGGCTATGGAAGGATAAAACTCTGTGAGCAACCAATCTGCAAAGGTCTGCGTGGTACAGGATGAACATAAGAATGGCCATACTGGTCAGACCAAAGGTCCATCCAGTCCAGTCTGTCTTCTGACAGTGGCCAATGCCAGGTGCCCCCGAGGGACTGAACAGAACAGGGAATCATCCCTCCTCTCTCACCCATTACCAGCTTCTGACAAACAAAGGCTAAAAATATAGCTCCTATCCACCCTGGCTTATAGCCATGGCTAGACCTATCCTTCATGAATGTATCTAGTTCTTTTCTGAACCCTGTTAACGTCCTGGTCTTCACAACATCATCTGGCAAGGAGTTCCACAGGTTGACTGTGTATCGTGTGAAGGAAATGCCCCAGTCTCAAAAGAGAGAGAGAGAGAGAGAGATTCCCACTAAAGCGCTCCAGTAACATCAATCTAAATTAGACAATTTAATGGTCCCTTCTAGCCTTTAAATGTATGAACCGATGAGTGAGACAGACCAAGGGCAGGGGAGGAAAAGGGGAAAATCTGTAGCAGCTACAAGCAAACTAAATGCCAAAAGTAGCAGCCGAATGCTTAGCCCTTTGGAAAGTCCAGCCTTGTGTTTTCATCCTAAGAATGGACTTGGAACCAAAACAAATTTTTGAGAAACTTGGCTTGATTTTGCAGACCTCATGCAACCTAAAATCCCCTTGATTCAATGGTTCTAGAGGGGTAGCTGTGTTAGACTGTTTCAACAAAAACAACCAGGAGTCTGGTGGCCCTTTAAAGCCGTCACTAACACTTGTATTAGGGCGTGAGATACAATGTGAGATACAATGCACTTCCTCAATACGTGGGCAGAAAAGACACTTCTGCTGAAGTGAGTTGCATCTCACCAAAGCTTATGTCCTAACAAGTCTGTTGGGCCCCTTAAAGACTATGAACTCCTGGTAATTTTTATTGACTCAGTGGGAGCTTTGCTGTCTCAGGCCTACAGGATTGGAACCCTTGTCTTTTAAAAGTCAACACTGTAGGGTCAGACCCACCGTTGACAGAGCAAAGATTCCCTCTGCTCTCTTCAATCCCGGAACCAGTCTGCAGTGGGATTGGGCCTAGAAGATTGCATGTGGGATTTCCTTAGACCAGTGTTTCCCAATTGGTGCTCCACAGAACCCCGGGGTTCCAAGAACGCAGCACTCCCCCGCACCTCTCTTAAAGAGACAGAATCTATTTTGCAGCTTTGCTTTTTTTTTTTTTGCTTGACAAATTTTACCCTGGCAACCCTAGGAATTCCTTGAAATTCTTTTAAGCTGAAAAAGATTCTGTGGCCAAATAAAATTGGGAAACACTGTCTTAGACAATAGTGGCTTGGAAGGGGCTGCTAACAGGCAGGTCAATAAATACACCACCCATGGGTGTCCGGTAATGTAGGCAAGAGAAGGCACAGACTTCCCAAAATTGGCTATGGGGAAGGGACTGAGCTGGGGGTGGGCAGGGCTTGGCTCCAGGGGCGGGGCCTTGGGAGGAAGGGGAGGGGCTGGGGGCTTGCTTTCCCCCAGCTGGGCCTTTACCCACCACCCATGACCCCACCCTGGCATCAAAATCCTTCCGTACAGTTTTTAAAAAAGAAACCAAGCACCTGAAGAGCTCAGGAAAGCAAAGAATTCCCCATGATGAGTTTGAGATCTGGTGTAAACTGGCATAACCCCGCTGGCCTCGACAGAGCTACAGCAGTTTATCCTAAAGGAGGACCAGCCGCGGCGGATATAGGGCATGGCGAGTGGGGCAGCTGCCCTGGGCCCCGTGCTTCAATAGGTCCCACGCACGCGCTACTACCTGTTGGCTGTGGCCGTGGCGCATGCGTGAAATTGTGCTGCCCCCGGCCCCGCGCTTCAATCGGCCCTGCACCCTGCAAAACTCTCATCTGCCCCTGAGGACCAGGCCCATCCAGCAAATATGTAAGGGGAGTACGCCCTTACCCCTTCCATCTGCCCGGAGCGTTCAGCATCCTCAGCAGCCAGCGGCCCAGGCTGGGGCCAGCATGCCACGAGTTAATGGAAGAGAAAGTTTGTGCCTGTTGGTTTTCTGTACAGCGCCCCAGCTTCCCCGGCCACCGTTCCGCAGCTGCTGCTGCAGCATAAAACATTCATGAAGCAGCACGATGTTCTCCCCGTGAGCTGCACAGTCACATTGGCTGGGGGAAGCTATTTCAGGTGAAACCAGGGAACTGGCATGCAAGGGAATTAACGGGACAGTGGATTATATAAGCCATCGAGTCCAAGCCGGTATTTCCAGTTGATTTTTCCTCCCATTGTCCCACTCACAGGAACATTCTGCATCTACTGCGTGTAGAGAAAAAGTGCTACTGTGGGGAAGCAACCAAACCACGCTAGAGATGTGGGGCTGACAGGACAGCCCCAGTTCCCTTCCAAGAACAGGTCCAGGGGGCTCACACAGGAAATGGGAAAAGGTTTCGCCCTTTTGCTTAAGCCAGGGGTAGGGAACCTTTTTTGGGTCAGGGGCCACTCACCCACAGAAAAATCAGTCGGGGGGTGGGGGGCGCACACACGTGAAAAGAACCCCCCCTCCCAAAACAAAACAACCCCACCCCTCACTAATGTGGCCCCCGACTGAGGAGAGAAACCCTCCTCACATTCCCCTTGCACATCAGAATCTGAGGGGGCCTAGCCTCGTGTGCTCCAGTAGAGGGGTGGGGGTGGGGCTCCCCAATGCTGGGGGGAGTCTTGAGGGCCGGATCTAGGCAAGCTGGGGGCTGCATCCGGCCTCCAGGCCTGATATTCCCCACCCCTGGCTTAAGCGTTAGAGCAACGAGTGATAATTCTGTTCATTGTAGGAGACTGGAGACTTTCCCTATGAAATATGGAGACCGGCCCATGCGCTGCAGCCCCAGCCCCTGGCCCATGCGCTCGGCGCCAGTAGCTGGAAAAGGGCTGGCATAGTCTGCAAGGTCACTTCTAGCCACCCTTGGATTTCCTCATGGTGGGGGGCCCTTCGGTGACCGATTAAGCTGACTTGACAGTCCTTCTGCACGACGACCTCCCGAGGTCGCCTCCTTCCACCCTACGATTCCCTGATCCCAGCAGGATCGAGCTTAGTGCCTGGCTTTCACGAGACTACAGCACCAACGAGGAGTCCCATGGCACTGTAACGCCTAGCAGACATCTGGGCATCAGTTTCTGTGGGTAAAAACCCACCTCACCAAACTAGAGAAGCTGATGCCCCCATAAATCTGTTAGACTTTACGGTGCCACAGGACTCCTCATTGTTTTGGCAGCTACAGACTAACATGGCGACCCCGCAAACTTCGATAAGACTAACCGCCTCCATATTAAGGTAATTTTGCATGTGTGCATATTTCCTTAGAGCCCTCGATTAATAGAGTTTGAAGGGTTAAATCAGGCCTGGAAGAGACAGTAAACTGTTACTGTAAACTGCCAACTTCCGTGCCGCTGTGTCAAATTTACACCAGCATAGGATTTGGTCCATATATGCTAAACAGGACACCATTTGGCAGCCCGCCAGAGATAGATGGAGAAGGCAGCGGGTCACAACTCTGAGATCTGGCAACAAATCTTGGTTATTAGCAATTTAAATAAAAAGGCCGGGGGGCTTATTGGTGTCCTGCCTTGCTCCCCAGAGATGCTTTCCAACTGTAAGTGAATCCAGAGGGACTAGCAGCAACCAGACAAGAGTCATATATAATTTTTCCCATTAGAAAAATCTGCAGTTTTGGTACATGCATTGGTACCCGCTTTCTGCAGTGTGAGATTGTCACTGTTGACAATAACCACATCAGAAGCTGAACACACACAATGGGAAACCCAGTGTCTCCAGTCCCTGATCCTTTAAAACAGATAAAGAAGTTATTGCCTCTGTATCTTAAGAGCTAAATTTCCTGCCTGAGAAAATAATTGAGGTAGAATAATTAAATGAGATCGTTAAAAGGGTTAATCCAGACAAGAGATTGTTCCATCTTCTGAAATTTAGCTCCTAGCGTGAGCACAGACTCAGCCAATGCTCTGAAAGTGGCCTTGTAAATTCCCCTTTTAGACAAAATGACTGTCACTTACTGAACATGGGTAGTGGAGGAAAACCTCACCAAAGCTGTTGATAAAGTTTCATTCAGACCATGGCTTTTCCCAGCCCTGTGTCTGAGCCACCTGAGACTCAAGCATGGAATTAATTACTGGTGAATGGAAACTACAGTTAGCCTGAATGTACATGTGTGTTCAATGTAGACATTGAACTTCTCTGATGGCTCATTGCCAAGGACACAAGACTTGGTGTCAAGGTCTGGGCTCTAGTACTGGTTTTGCCTAAGTTTCTCATCTGAAAAGGAGGATACTTTTATGCAGCCTATCTTCCCAAGGCTGACAATTTGCTCGCACATAAGATAGCACTCGTGTAACAGCACTACCTGGGGACAACACCCATTCCAACTCCCATCACTCCTAAGCGCTTTGAGACCAACAGGTGGGAAACTCTATGGCTGTGTCTAGACTGGCCAGTTTTTCTGGAAAATCAGCCGTTTTTCCGGAAAAACTTGCCAGCTGTCTACATTGGCCACTTGAATTTCCGCAAAAGCACTGACTTCCTACTGTAAGAAATCAGTGCTTTTTGCAGAAATACTATGCTGCTCCTGTTTGGGCAAAAGTCCCTTTTGCGCAAAACTTTTGCGCAAAAGGGCCAGTGTAAACAGCTGAGATTTGTTTTCTGCAAAAAAGCCCTGCTCGTGAAAATGACGATCGGGGCTTTTTTGCGGAAAAGTGCGTTTAGATTGGCCACGGACGCTTTTCCGCAAAAAGTGCTTTTGCGGAAAAGCGTCCGTGCCAATCTAGACGTGCTTTTCTGAAAATGCTTTTAACGGAAAAGTTTTCCATTAAAAGCATTTCCGGAAAATCATGCCAGTCTAGACGTAGCCTATATACCTGCAGACAACTGTTGTTATGGGAGTTGGATCCTTTTCCAGGATGCAAGAAGCAACGGGCTTGTCAATCGCGCCTTTCTGACACTGCTGTTACTTTGTGCTTGAACCTGGGAGGCAGAGAGGTGGTTATTTGGGCAGAACACAACAAACTGCGGTGAAAGACTTTTTCACCCTTTGTCATTTGTCATGGCTACCTCTGCTTTGTTCGCTACACACCTAAACAATGTGCGAGGCCGTTGGCAGCTCATCCGGCTGTAGCTGTCATATATTTGCAGATGTCCTGCTGAGCCTGGTTTCTTTCATCTGTAGGCAGGCACAGGTCTCAACTGCTCCCCTCTGGGCTTCAGAAAAGGAAAATTTGGAGGGTGCATTTCCAAGGAATGGGAATTCCAATAGGTCCCTGTGCTTGCAAAGCAAAGGTCATACTAAACCTCAAGTACCTAAAAGGCTGTTATAAGGGGAGGGAGGGAAATCGTTCTCCTTGACCTCTGAGGATAGAACAAGAAGCAATGGGTTTAAATTGCAACAAGGGAGGTTGAGGTTGGACATTAGGAAAAACTTCCTGTCAGGTGGTGAAACACTGGAATAAGTTGCCTAGGGAGGTTGTGGAATCTCCATCACTGGAGATATTGAAGAGCAGGTTGGACAGACGCCTGTCAGGGATGATCTAGACCCGTGGTCACCAACCAGTAGATCGTGATCTACCAGTAGATCTCAGGGGCTCTAAGAGTAGCTCTTGAGCCCTCTCTGAACTGCGCGCCTGTGCAGTACATTTACATTAGATTTCCTCATGTAATGTAGGCGGGGCTTCAAGGAAGGGGCGGGGCAGTAGATCTTTGCCTGTTCTGAGACTTAAAAAGTGATCTTGGGTGTAAAAAGGTTGGAGACCACTGTTCTAGACGGTGCTTGGTCCTGCCGGGAGGGCAGGGGACTGGCCTTGACGACCTCTCGAGGTCCCTTCCAGTTCTAGGATTCTCCAACCCTGTGTAAGCTGCTATCCAAACAGGAAGCTTAAACACTTGCCCTGCTTCATGAAAGGGAAGTGGGAATGCACGTGATCTTCTGCTCGTGTCTGCCCGGGGGAGAGTGGGATTTAGCACTTGGGAAGAAAGCAGCCAGCAGTTGTGTTCGAAAAGGATCTGCGGGCCGTGGTGTCAGGGTGGCTCAGATCTGCCAGAAAGCGCAGAGCGGCACCGGGCTCAGCTCACCGCAGGCTCCCGCGGCTCGGCTCACCCATGTGACCTCTCCCCTTTTTTCCTGCTAGGAGTGATCGCCCTGTTTTGCAGGCAGTATGACATCATCAAAGATAACGAACCAAATAACAACAAGGAGAAAGCCAAGAGCCCGTCAGAGAGCAGCACGCCTGAGCACCAGGGCGGAGGGCTGCTGCGCAGTAAGGTAAAATGTTGTCGACAGGGCGGAGGGTTTCGTGGGGGGGGGGGAGGAGCAGCCAATCAGGTTCCAGTTGGGCTTCAGCTGAATTAACCCAGCGATCTCATTCGCTCTCTTGGGCCAATGCACAGAAGTGGGTCCCTCACAGTAGGAGGAAACAGCATGGTCTAGTGGCTTGAAAACATAACTGCAAGTCAGGAGTCCTGGGTTCTTTTCCCAACTCACTAAGTGACCTTGGTCAGATCACTTAACCTCCATCCCTCAGTTCCCCCCTCAGGGAAGTTAGAGTAATAATATCAACCCCCATTCGTAAAACCCCTTGAGAACTTTAGATAGAAAGGGCTGTTTACAGGCGATGTACTGTCACCTGAACACGGGAGCCAAAACTCTTACGTTCAGAACCCCCCAGCTGTTATTACAGGTCAGAATGGGCACGTTTACACAGCAGGGCAAAAGTTGAATTAAGCTACACAACTTGAGCTATGTCAATTGCGTAGCTGAAGTCGAAATAGCTTAATTCGGCTTTTGGCGTTGTCTCCCCAGCAGGGAATTGAAGGAAGAGCACTCTCCTTCGACTTCGCTTACGCCTCGTGAAATGAGGGTTACAGGAGTCACAGTAAGACGTCCTCCAGCTCGACATTATTTTGAAATAACGGCTTGCCACATAGACGCGCTCTTTGTTATTTCGGAATAACATCCGCTATTCCGGAATCACGCTGCTGCATAGACGTTCCCAAACGTGAGGGGCAGAGGGGATGTGAGAGCTGTTCTCAGCTAACAGCGTATCAGTTATTTAAGAGAAGGAGCTGCTATGAGGTGTAAGATATGATGTCATTTTCCACAGCGTAATTTAACTAGAGCTGGGCAAATAAGTTATACCCAGTCATTTACTCAAACTTTTTTTTTTTTCCTGTTTCCAAATTGCTCAGGAGCAGATCCCAATTGCCTTCCATTTATTTATCATTTGAAATTATTCACCAATTGCTGCTCATTTGTGAGCGGTTTATTGCAAGCAGAGGCTGAGCTGTGTTAGTTACTTCTGACTGGGCACATAGGTCACATTCCCTAGGTGTGAAGACATTCCCTGGGAGTGAAACTCTGCAGAAGCAGATGTGAGGGGTGACTAGTCAGTTAGGAATTCAAAACTCTGCACAAACATTCTACCAAAGCCATCCCATGACCATTTCTCTCAATAAAGACCCTTGCTAGGATGTCGAAGTGGACGCGGAAGCAGTTTGAATGAGGCCAACAAGAACTGGAATTGCAGCAGAGCAGGGACTAACCTTTTGGTCTGTTTGTGCAGCACCTAGCTCAGTGATCCTAGGGCTTGCAGGCACAACCACAATAATTCACGGAAACCAATGGGATTCTCTGTGAGCACAGGAATCCCTCCCCATCCAGTAACTTGCAGGATCAGGTCTCAACAAAATAACAGCAGGGGTTCCTCGGTGAGGCACCTGTTCAAACATGCTGCTTCCCTTTCAGATTCAAATGCTTCCCTCCACTTTCATTTCTATAGTCCTGAATATCCAGGGTGATGGAGGGGGATACCCATGGCTTGGAAGGTGGACAGCAGCTCTGCGTTGGAGTCCAGAGACAGACGGAAAGGGCTTGGGATGCAATCTAGCAGCCTAACATTTTCTGCTCACTTGGCTCTGTGATTTCTGATGACACTTTATTTCCCAGCTCTGGCAGCCTGCCCCCCTTCATGGGGATGAACAGATCTGGCTTAGGACTGCTCGACATTTATTAACTCTGCTGTTGTGGGCCTGTCTCCTGTCCTGGTTCCTTCATCCTGCCCAGTGCAGGAATATTTAACGACAGCGACAGCCTTAGCTCCAGGTTTACGGAATCTTCTGTATCCGCCTGCAATCCTTTGGGGTCAAACATGTGCCCCAGCGCCAGCCTGTGTGGATTTTGCAGTTGGGGGCTGTGGGCTGGGTGGGCTGTGCCCCATAACTGAGCAGCAGGCTGTCCAAAGAAACAGGATAAAATTCTGATCTCCATTAGGCTGCAGTAACACGGTCGCAAGCGCCATCACTGGCCTCTGAATTGGAGGTTCCATGCAGATTCTGCATTTCAGAAACGACGCGCATGATACTAAGTCACATACCCCTGGATTACTAGGGGCCAGTTGGTCCCGATTCTACCCCCAGTGGAGTCATTTCCATCTGCGCAAAGTGGGGGGCGGGGAGGAAATGCTAATAAAGCAGAATTATTGCATTCTGCAGAGATGTCAATTGTTGCCCGAGGTGCATGCTGATGATAAAGTGGGCCCCTGAAATCCAGAGGGAAGTCCTCAGACTGTTTCTTTGCCCGGCACTTGCAGCCAGCATGAACACCAGCTCCATCACTGCCCCATTTTCATTATGCTGCAGGCGACAGGATCATGTAAAAAGCCCCACTGCCCTGAACAAATCTCCGATGGCATTTCCTTAGTGATCCCTACCCATTTCTCCTTCTTCCACCTTCTCCCCTTCTTCTAGTTTCCAAAAAACAAGCCCTCGGTGAATATCATCGAAGCATGACAGCCTGCCATCTGATAGATGGACTCCATTTCTCGCTCTCCCTCTCTGCTTCTGAGCCCTGACGACTGGGGACGTGAAATACTATCGGAGTGGTTTGGAGAGACCGACTGGTTGTCAATTTCTGACGTAAATCTCCTTGCCCTTGCTCTGCACAAGACATCTGGAGAGAAAGCAAAAAATCCTGAAAAAACCCACATAAGCCACTGGCTGAGAAGAAAAAGCTGCAGTGAAATTGACGCCTTCAGGCGATTGTGTATCAGACTCACAAGGCACCTAGGCTGTAACAAATCCCAACAGACTTAGCATCCCCGCTCCCCTCTCTCTCTCCTGGAAGGATTTTCCTCTCTCTGGAGATGCACAAAATGTCACTGTAGTTCTGTTTTGCGTCACTGTCCCCACATGTCAACCGCATCCACATGGGTTCAGGCTGCATTTGCCATTTCGCCTCGGGAGAGAAAGAAACCTCACCCCATGGCAAAGGAAAGGATTTGGGCTGCTGTGTACACTAACCTCACTCCATAGCGCTCATGTTTGTGGGGTGAGACATTTTTGCAGGTGGGGGAGGGGGAGGGGGAGTGTTTTTAACAATGGCAAACTACAGTTTCCATCTGGACGGTCACTACTTTGCTGGCTGCTCTCCAGTTGGGACCTGCAGTGTGTGTCTTGATTTTTGCCGTCTCTTCTCTTCCGCAATGCTGCAATCCACCTAAAACAAGCAAGGCGGGATTCACAGCACTGCGGGCCACAGACCAACAGAGACCAGAAGCCAACCAGGGTTTGGATTCCAGGAGAACTTGGACTGTTTTCTTTATTATATTTGCTTGACTGATTCCACCGACAGTGGAACAAATGGTTCATATAAAGTGTGGCCAGTTAGTGCAAAAAAATCCCCAAAACAAAGTCAGGATGAGAACAGTTGCTATGCAAGGATACTCGGTTCCCAGTGCTGACAGCCATCGTAATCACTGCCGAGGGACTGCTGCCCAAGGATAGTCAAGGCCATGACGCCCCAGTTACTTCTTTTACTGGGGTTCGATGAGTGGCGTTCCCCTCTCATCTCTTGTCTCCGCTATTCCTCACAACACTCGATTGTGAAGAGTTCCTCCTCCACAAACATGAGGAGTCTCCTCTCTGCTTTAGGAGTTGACAGGTTCCCTTGTGACTTACATGGTTTGGAGGCAGATAGGTGAGAGGTCAAATGGAACCAGCGCTTTGCCATCAGGTTTTTATCTTTGTTTAGTTGCAAGGCCATTCCCGACCTGCTGGGGGAGAACATAAGACCCAGATCATTCCATCACGGGTTAGCCCCAGTAAGACTGAACTCCTCTCACGGCAAAGCAACCTGCATTCAGGCAAGACAGTGATTCAAAAGCCACAGCACAAAGCCAGGCTGGCAGGCACTGAGGTCGGACATCTTCCCCTTCGCCTCTCTCAGGTAGTCCATCCAGGAGGAAGGCGCCGGGAGCTTCGCAGGCAGAGGCATCTTATAAACAAGGGCTTCCCCACTGCCAGTTTCAGGGAGGCAGCCAGCCCTCCTATCGTTTTCTAAATTGGATCCTTTGCCAAAAGCTACTCCCCACCCCCGCGAGGGAGAGGTCAATACCTCGGACACAGTTGGAGCAATAACCACTTTTTAATGTACAATAAAGATTAAAGGCACAGCTTTCCTTGTACCTACTGAAGTTGGGTGATGTTTCCTCTTGGTCCACACCGGGGCAGAATGCATGAACCCGAAGAGGACGGCCTTTTACTCCCATTTCTGGGGCAATCATGAATGTGGCTGTTTTGCCCTGCCTCTGTTTGCAGGCAGCAAGTAAAGGTCCAGGAGGGTTAACTATGATCAGGCTGTGAGCTAAGGTGAGAAAGAAGCTGTAACATGTAGAACTAAGCTTATTTCGAAATAGCACGTCTACACTACAGAGAAGCCTCAAAATGAGTCCGAGGCAGGCTCCCCTCATGTGGACACGAGACCTCGATTTAGAGCCCCAGGAGGCACTGGGGAGTAATTAGTTTGCATGGCCCTGGGGAGGCACTATTTCGAAATAGCAGCAGTGGAGCATCCACACTGCAGCGATTTCGCAAGAGGCGTTATTCCTCATGGAATGAGGTTCACAGAAGTCGGAATAAGCCGTCCGTTACTTCAAAATCACGGCATTGCTGTGTAGACACTTGCATTGTTATTTCGGAATAACGGCCGTTAATCCAAAATAGCGCTGCTGTGTAACTCTCTGGCTTAGTAGGCATCGTATGACAAAGACCCGTCATTCCAAATCCACAGCCTATCTCTAAAGGAAGATTTAGAACAGCTGGTATGGTATGTACAAAATGATCAGAGATGTTCTATCATAATCTTGACGCAGACAAGCAAACGAGCAGGCCCCAAACTGGACCCTAGCTGCTTCTGAGGAAATTCAGTCAAGGTAATTTATCAGGTTTATGTTTTTTTATACAAAAAAAAAATGTTTATGGGAATGCAGAGAGCATTCCCCATTTTTGACAGTAATTGTTGTTTCCTAGTGGCAGGTTATTAGCTATTTCCACTCCAACAGTGATGCACTTCTTGTTTGTTAGAGATGGGAAATTAAAATGTGAGGCACAGCTTTTTGTTCACAGTTAAGTATTCAAGCCATGATGTGGCAGCTTGCAAAGGAGAGTATCATTACGCTCTATAACTGCAGGTGTTAAAAGGTACAGTAATAATGCTATTAGCGAGAAAAAACAGATGTAGGCTAGGAAGCAAATCCACTCATACCAGAAAGGAATGCCAAGCTATCAAATGCAGCTGACTCGCTAATGCAGACATTTTTCAGGAACTATAAACTGAAGGGATTGAATAAGAATATATTTCTTCTAAAGAAGCGCTATGAAAGGAAGAGAGGCAGAGACAGACACGCTAGGGATGTTACATTGCGTTTAATCAGCTAATTGAGTCAATGGAATTTCTATCAACTACTCAATTAGTCGATAACGGGGAAACTACAGAGATGCAGCAGTGTTAGTTCCCAGTCCCGGGAGCTAAATCCGCTGTGGCTCTGCTGTTTAAATGTATTAAGAGCGGTCAGGCTCTTAATACATTTAAAAGGAAGCGGCACAACAGCGGCGGAGGACCAAGCGCAAGCCAGGAATCAGCTGACTCCTGGCTCACGCCCAGTCCCCCCACCACACCTCTGCCTCTCCTGACCTCTCTGCAGAGACTGTGTTTTTAAGCCGGCTCCCCCCAGCACTAGCTCCTGCTCCCCCGCCCCTCCCGGCCTATCTTTGATAGAGGCAGCAAGGTACCCGGGGGGGGGGGGGCTTACTGGGTAGTTGACTAGTTGCTTATATCCCAAAGACACACACAGCCCTTTTGAAAATTATCCTAAGTCCTAGTTTCAAAAGCATCTTCGGTGCTTAGATGCCCACGACTCAATGAAATGTAGATTCCTAAGGGGGGAGGGATAGCTCAGTGGTTTGAGCATTGGCCTGCTAAACCCACAGTTGTGAGTTCAATCCTTGTGGAGACCATTTAGGGATTTGGGGCAAAAATTTGTCAGGGATGGTACTTGGTCCTGCTATGAAGGCAGGGGACTGGACTTGATGACCTTGCAAAGTCCCTTCCAGTTCTAGGAGATAGGCAATCTCCATTAATTTATATTTAATTTAAGCACTTATTGTTGAAAATGGAACAGAGATGCCAATATCACTTAGGCACTTTTGGAAGTTTTACCCTTAATCAGAGAAAAGACTTTGCATTAAGAAACAAACCATGTAAGCATTTAAAAAAAAGGGGGGGGGCGTACGATCTGCAATCACCTTAAAGGATGCCAAGATTTTCCAATGTGATTGGGCTTGTCCGCTGCATTTTAGCTAACTGTGGGAGGTAGAGGTTTGCAAAGTGCCATGTTTGCTGCGGGCTAAGCAGCAGGCAGGAGCGCACCAGAATGAAGGGCTTCTAAAGAGCCCCACAATAAATGATTTTCCACTGAACATAAAAACAAAATGCAGCAAACATCCAAATGGCTGTGAGGATGGTGTGCAGTCACTGGGGACTAATTCAAGTGATTTCCAGGAACCAATTACACATAGTCGATGTGCACAACGAGAGAACGCTATCTCCAGGCCAACGTATGTCTAAAGTTAAGCACCACTTGCCTTTATTTCTTAAAAAGCACCATAATCCTGTGCTTATAGGCACCAATTTAGTCAATATATTCCTCCCCCACATGAGGGTTTAGTGAAACTGTACCCAGAGGGCGACGTGGAGTGAACAATTCAACACGGGGTGTCCTTACATTCACAACTGTAACTGCCATCAATTTCCCAGTCACTTCCCTCCTACCCTAACCAACAGCACAAACTCTGTTCCCGCAGTTCTCTGAGAAAAAACGAGAACATTTATGCACTTTGGACACCATTCATTAAAGGAGGAAACACCTCCACAGCTGACAACGTTCTTACAATCCCAGCAGACAACAACTCACTGGAAGAGCTGTAAATGGGGAGAAACAGATTGTTCATTCTAGCATTTGCCCAAGATACCAAAGGTCACATCATTCAAAGGTGTGTATCCTAGTGGCACATGCATTGCACAGATATAAAATGTGGGCAGTAGGATGCAAGAGTTGAACCAGTTAACAGATAGGCTGATGCTTACAGATTCCAGTTACCAGTTAAACGCCCGCAATGCCAGCAGCCGGAGGGAGCCCGCAGCACTGGCAGCCAGCTGGGAGCCTGCAGCCAGCAACCCATGGGATGGCGAGGCCAGCAAGCCCGTAGGGCCAGCTGCCTGCAGGCACTGGCTGCCTAGGGGGTAGTCAGCAGCTGACGGGGCTACTGATGGGTTAAAAAATGCCGTTGTTTAACCGTGTAACCAACTAAATTGTAATTGGTTACACGATTAGTATTTAACAACTTGTTTACATCCCTGGTGGGCACTCGTATGCATTAGCAGATTTCAGTTTCTAGCAGACAAACAGGGAATGGAGTTTAAAGTGCACACTGAGCCAAATGTAATTTCCTCCAGACTGGCAATAAGGCTTACTGTTGCGACATCCTAACCTACCACTGAATTATCTGTATCGAGACCACTAGCAGACAGGCCGACCGGCTACCTGTGGCACCTGCCTTGTTTCTTAAAATTGCTGTTAAAAAGTTATCTACTTTCTCCATGGGGCTCCCCCGGCTGTGAATTCCGTCATATCTGCTGACCATACAGACTAAAAAACATTTTCCAACTTTTTAGTCCTCTTAGCCCCCACACCCATGGGCAAGCGAGCTGGATTCTATTCCAGCTCATGCATCACCATTCGTTCTGTTTAACTACGCTCCAACTGCAGAAGCGTTGTAATTAGTGATAGAGCCAGGAGAGGCACAGCTTGAATTTCAGATCCCAGATGGAGTCACAGGGCTGGCAGCTAGAACAGCCATCTTTTCCTCTCACAAGCTGAAGGAGTCTGACGTGGAGCCACAGAGAAAGACAATAATGACAGACCCCAAGATACCATGGTACACTTTTCAGCACATCACTGTCCTTTAAAACGGACAGAGAAACTCAGCCACACAACCAATTGCTAAACATGGCTTATTTCTAATAACTATCCCCCTCCTCAGAAGGTATAACTGGCATGGGGGAGGGAGTAGATAAGGGAGGGAATTGATCAGCTTTTAGGTCAGGTTTTAGTGCATATTTTATCTCCATCCTTTTAAAATTACACGGCAGCAAAGAGATTTGGCAGGAAGATCCAATCAGCTGCTGAGAGGAGAACAGCTAGGACTTGTAGCTAGCTAGCTTTTGGGATCACTGTCGTCTTGCTGTTGCTATTAGAGTGCAACCCAATGGTAAATGCTCTTACTACACTGCAAGTTGTAAATCATTTCTTCACAGCGTTCAGATGTTGGGGAGGGGGGGTGCCTTGCACAATGGACTGTTCCAATCCGCATTGAGGCTAGAGGGCATTACCATGGTGAAAATAATAGCAATGAGGCCCCTACCTATAGTCCATGTAATTTGTCCTGCCAGGAGCATACAATCTCTCTCTTTCTCTGCCCTTGCAGCCCCTCTGAGGTACGCTATTAACTGCAGTAATGCTGAAGAATGAGATCTTTTATCAGTCAGGCTGCCTGTGAACCTGGAATCTTTAGAACACGCAGAGCTGCCCTCCAGCAGCACCGCTGCATGTGGGAGAAACAGGAAGATCATATAGCACAGATTCAGAAGGAAGCTCCCCCACTTCCACCTACTCTTCTCCAGCCCGCCCTAGACACAGCACATGTTGTACCGACACCACGTCCTCTCCCGCGAAAGACCTTACTATGTGTTCCTCGTTCAGAGCCGTTTCATTGTCTCAGCATGGCTACCTGGTACTAGAGTCACTCGTGTAGGAAAAGGCTAATCGAAATAGTCTCCTGACTGCCGTGTATAGTTTAATAGCTGCTTTCTAAGACACACATAAAAGCCAAGAGGACTAGTATGAAAAATCTTGTTCGACATCTTTATGCATAAAGGAGCACAACAGCGAAGCATCCACAGTCGCACCGAACTGCTTGCTCGTGTCCTTCCCTCCCTCTGCCCCAGCTCTGACGTGACACGTGGCTGATTGTTAGTGACCCTCAATAGCCTAGTTGCTCTCATCTCGGTCAGACTCCAACATCAGCCAATCCAGTGATACTTCTCAGGCTTTGGAGGAAAGGCTCATCAGCAGCGGGGCCTTTGCAAGGGGAATGAACTCTGCAATGTAACTCATACGGCGATGGACACGACTTCCTCTCGCTTTGCTTTCCAAACAGCCTAGGAAACGATGAATCCAAGAGAGCCCCTGCCCCTTCCTTATTAGACAAGCAATAGGAGCAGGTAAGCTCTAGAGACAAAATCTTCAGCGCAGGGATCTATCTTTTAGGGACGCACACAAATAACTCCCTGTCGAGATGTACAGCCAAATAAATACCTGAGATTCATCGGCTTACACGACAACAGCCACTCTAAGAATGGTGCTAACAATCTCACCATCCCAATCAATAGCTGCCAAGTGATATTATTTTCCCATTCTATGCACGGCTCCCAACAAGTAAGATCTAGAGTGGTAAAACCACAAGAGATGTTCTATTGGTTTGGGGACATTTCTGATTGAGATTTTTCTAAAAGATTCATGTTTCAGCTGTTGACATAGCCTTAAAAATTGGGTGCACTCCCACCTCAGCATTTACAGACTAATGGCAAATTGACACACCTATACAACAGCCTTCCTAGGACTCCACAGTGGCTGGAAAAATGTTTTCTTTAATTAACAAATGCAGTATATCAAGACGATGTCTGAACTACAGCCCGGATCAATGCTCAGATTGATCCACCCGGCGGTCAATTTAGTGGGTCTAGTTAAGACCCACCAAATTGACTGCAGATTATGCTGCAGTCAACCCTTCTACTCAAGAGTAAGGGCATGTCTTCACCACAGACTGGATCGACCAGCAGCAACAGATATGCTAAATCTACCGCAAGTGCTCTCCCATCAACTCCTGTATTCTCTCAGAAGCAGAGTAAGTGCAGTCAACAGGAGAGCATCAGCGGTCGACTTAATCGTGGTGTCTTCACCGCAGTAACAGACCTAAGTACAATGACTCCAGCTATGTTATTCACATAGTTGGAATGGTGTAGCTTAGATCGACTTTCTGTAGATCAACTTTCTGCAGTAGTCAGAGCAGGGGCTAGGAGTCAGGCAAAGCCAGATTCTATTTCTAGCTCCACTGCAGGACTCTGGGCAAATTATTTAACCTCTCTGTGCCACAGACACTGCAGTTACAAAATGATGCTTACTAAGGTGAGTAAACTGTTAAGCCTCTACAGATCCAGAATCGAAAGGTGCTACATCAGGGCAAAATAGAGTACACGTTCACACTGAAAAAGAAAACCCAGGCACAGTGCTATTTTTTAAAAGTCAAATTAGCCAAAGCTGCCATGAGAATATCTGATAAAAGGAGAGACCGTGTGAAATTTGCCAAATGTTTCTGATTTATTCAATGCTTTGCTCTTGTCATTTTCCCTGTCAGCTGCCAGAGAAAATCAGGGCGTGAAGTTGACTCTATGTTGCTATTACTTCATGTACTGTACTCAAGAATTATTTGTCACCCACTGCTGATGGACTGCTTTGCCAATGCTTTCAATAGAGCATTTTAGTGAAACAGATTTACAGCACGTGCTTAGTGATACTTTAACACAGGAAAAAAGAACGACTAACTAGGGATGTGAAAGGTTAACCAGTAACCATCACCCTTAACAGGTGATGCTTACCACCCTTAACGGGTGGGCTTGGGCTCTCCGCGGACAAATCCAGGCTGGAACAGTTTTGCTCTAGTCCCCCTGGGCTTTAATCAGTTAACTGGTTAAACATATTTAACCGGTTAACCAATTAAATGGGATTTTACATCCCTAACTGTCACACATAAAAATACCGGCGACTACACGGATCCTTTTCTCATTTAAAATGTTTGAATTCATTCTAGTTTTCAGTTAAACCTGCCTGACGCAAACACTTATGGCTGGACAAAAATTGGTTAAGGGATGTGGAACAGAAGCGGACCCTTGTATATTTGAGGCGGTCGCTTCAGGCAGGTCTCCACTAGGGGCTGGATCAGGTAGTGCTTGATCCAGCAGGGTCAATTTATTGCATCTAGTGTAGACATGATCACTCTCCTGTCGACTCTGCCACTCCACCAGAACGAGAAGAGCTTTTTTTCCAGTTGGCCCAGTGTGGTGTGGACCCCGCAGTAAGTAGAATTTATCTATGTCAATCGGAGTTATATTACTAATGTTTAGACCCAGCTGTCCCCATGGTGTACATTTGCCCTTCCGTTAGGAGTTTTTATAACAGGATAATCTCCCACCCACCCACCAATAAAAAGTTGGTTTAGAGGGGTGAGTAACTAGCAAGAACAAGAAGAGCAAACACAGCTGGAGGTTTAATGTAAGAATGTAACCAGTTAACTGATCAGCTGATGCTTATCGGTTCAACTCCCATGGCTGCTAGCAGCCAGCTGAGCCAGGAGCCCGTGAGGCGGGGGGAGGGCAGGTGGCGGGGGGACGGCAGGTGCCAGCAGCCCGCAGGGCTGGCGGTGGGTTCAAAATATTGGTGTTTAAGTGGGTAGCCGAGTAAACTGGGATCGGCTACAGTTAGTATTTTTAACATCCCTAGTTTAAAGGCAACCCTGTAGGCGTTTGAGGCTATGGCGTCCACGGAGAGATGAACCATGCAGTCACGGAGTTGCTCCTTCTCAGGGAAGTTGATTTTAGTTGCAAGAGAGCTCATTCCCCGCTGCCTCCTGGAGGAGCTCCGGTGAAGCTGCCACAGCTGCAGAGATCTGGGATGTGCCTCGTCACAACGGGATTCCCACAGGCGTACTTACCACCGCGCCAACCGATGCATTATGGAACAACTCCCATTACTCAGTCCACAGCTACTCGTGGACAGGTCTGTGGAAGCACAGCGAAGACAAGCAGTGCTAAGCTCAGCAAGGGCCTCTCCTTTCACCCAGCATGTTGTACTAAAACCCCAAAGGCGGCAATATGAAGTCCCTCCCCTGAGGCACAGAGAGCAGCTTGCACTGGCTGGTTGAGCTTTTTCAAGTCCTTGACGTCATTTGTATGAGACACACGTCCCGTTAACTTTCCAGAAGTGACTATGGAAATAATACATGTATTCCGTTCAATAAAGGACCTTCATTTTTCACTTGTGGATTCTGCAATGTGATGTTGTTCTGCCTTAGGGACTAGGTTAGAACTACACAAGGCAAAGTAGCTGGCAAAGCTGCTATTTACACTGAGACAGCTGAAGAGACAAGAGCCACAAAGCTCACTCTTAATCGTACGATCCACTTTGCCCTATACAAGGACTGATGCGAGTTCATGTTCTGAGCAGTTGCTAGATAGGTGCTCATTAGGGATGTAAAATCCCGTTGAATTAGTCAACCAGTCAAACATTGTGGTTAACCGGTTAAATGGAGGCAGGCGGGGAGACTGCTTCAGTCCCTGCTGGCTAACCGTTACCAGTAAGCATCACCCGGTAAGAGTGATGCTTGCCGGTTAATCGGTCAAATGCCTAGTGCTCATGAATGCTTCATCTTCCTTCACTGCAATAACTCAGGCTAACTTGCTCTTTAAAATAAATAAAACGTCTCCCTGAAGAATGTGTTTATCATAATGGGACATGAGACTAGCACACATCCCCTAAGCTGTTGATGGGGTGCAAGAAAGGCCTTGAGGGGCAGAAGAGCCAATATGGCGACAGGTTGCCCCTCCCCCAACATAAGAGACAGCTACTATGCCCAGGTAGGAAAGAGGATGGAGTGACGACGCAGGGCCTGCGGGCGGGTTCCAGTTGTCGGTTTGCTGGTTGTGTTACTTTGTTAAGCTGCCGGAGACCAACAAGGAAACAGACTCCTCGGAACACAGGTAAGTGGCTAAGGAAGCTTTTGCATCTAGGCGCTTCTTAAACATATGGCTCAAGTTCTCCCCTTGCTGTTCGTTCAGATCTCTCTGCTGTTTTCACTTCAGAGCGGCCAACCAGCTCTCTGGCGAGAGACAGCTGGCTCCTTTAGTCACAGTTGTTATTATTCCGAGAACACGGGTAGGAAACCAGAAAGGGCAGAGGGCAGGAAAGGGTCCGCTCACACACATCCCCAGCACCCTGGGTAATATCAAAACCAAGAGACTTTTAGAAAGTGCAAAATATTTATAAACACTCCCAAGTGCAAATGTACATGGAACAGTTTGCAAATAAAAGGGACAAATGAAGATGACAAATAAGGGAGGCGAGTAAATCTGAGGAAGAGGGAAAACAGGCTGTTCTCCAATTGCCTCTTAATTTATGCCAACTTGATGTGTCACCCGAGAATACTGACATTATTAACCTTCACAAAGGGACATGGACCAAGCAGGTGATTCCATCGCCAGCGGTGTCCAAAGGGAAGCTAGTAGTCGATCTAAAAAAACCACAAAGCTTTATTCTGGGCCCAGGCTTTGAAGAAAAGATTTTGATTCTAAATTGCATCGTTGAGCTCCGGTAGCTGAAGTGTTATATCCATTAAGTCACAGCCAACAAAAAGTCTTCCTTTTGAACAGTGGGGAACCTTTGCTTGTCAGCTGCTCCCTGGAAAGTTTACTTTTGTTTCAATGGAAAACACCGAGAAGAAATGCTACAATGTTACCTGTACAGAACAGTTCACCATATTTAACCTGTATTTAAAAGGAGGTTCTGAAGGTCTCAAAAACACAACACACATAAAATCCCTGAACTGGCCTTATTAAAACAGAACAATCCACAGAGCAAACAACCACGAGACAAACTGCTAATGCTACAGGATCACTAAAAACTAAACGGAGAAAAAAAAACCAGCACAGTCCCTCGGTACCATGTAGCTCAGACACTGGGGGGCGTGGTGACAGAGCTACGCCGGAAGTGGTCAGGAATGTCCTGGAAGCGACGGTAGTGGGCCAAGTTCTTGCTCACCCATTGCGTAAGGCTGAACTTTTGGCTGGGTTTCTTGGAGAACCTTGGGTATTTTCTGCAAGAACAGAAGAGGAAGAACGGTAACAGGAGAATTAAGGCAAACATGGAGTGCAGGAGCATGCATACAAGCGTAGCAGGAACAGTGGCTAATTTGCAAAATGCCCTCCCTAGTTCCACTGCACTGGAAGTCTGCAGACACTTTTCTATGCCAACATTTCTGAACGAAAACGATCTAGCCATGCTGCTTGTTAAGTAACAGCCTAAGAGCACAAGAAGAGTCCTTCCAGGTGAATTATCTTTAGTGCTTTCTCTGTTCTCTCACCCTCCTTGCAGAGATCTGTTTCTCCTTGGCCTGCCAGGAAAGTCTGAAAGTTGCTCAGTGCATGAGAGTTTACGTCTCATTTAATTCCCAAAGAAGGAGCTGCTGGCATGCAAATATTGCCATTGCCGGGAGCTAGCACATTCTGCAAAAGCTGCTGGCTTTGTTCAAAAACCAAACCCCCTCAAAAACACTTCCTACAATACTCCCACTGGGGCGTCTGGCATTGGCCGCTGTCAGCAGACAGGGCACTGGGCAAGATGGACCTTTGGTCTGACCCAGTCTGGCCACTCGTATTCTTAATGATTTCAAATAAAAAAAAACCAACTAAACAAAAATCCCACAATCCAATTCCATTTAGTGAACTTGTTTGTAACACTTTCAGATGCAGGGAAACAAAGCTTTTCCATACTGCTGTCAGATGCTGCATCCCCCCGTCTGCCAGGAACAGAGCGGGCTCCTCTTCAGTCTTTCACTTTGGCTTGGGCCGAGATCTCAACACGGCTAGGAAATAATATTCGTGAAGAGGAAGCCGCTGGGTGGGGTCATGCTTACAAAAACAAAATGAACGGTCAATACAGTTATTTAGAAGAAAGAGCATCTGGCTGGCTCGGGCTATTCACGCCAGCAGCTTCTCAGTTCTACGTCAGCAGGTCAGCACAAGGTATCATGATTAAGCAGGCCTAACGCAGCAACGTGACTGGACAGCGTCAGTCCGGAAAGACTGGCGTCCGTATCAGGGGTCACCAACACAACTCGCTCCCGTGCTGGTTTCCTCTCTGATGAGATGGAAGAGGGGAGCCTCCTCTAGGGAGGAAAACCTTCGTTGTAACTTTCACTGGCAAGAGATCATAGAAGCATTTTACCGGACACTTGTGCTGTCATGTTGATTTGGCTTGAAGCTTTGTTTCCCACAGCATCCGTCAGGCATGGTGAGCACTGCGGCGTTTTATTTCTCTGGATAGATAGTTAGAATCCAGGAGACTCTCTCTCAAGCTATAACCATTTCAAACAAGAGCCCACGTTCAGGCCTTAGTTACTTCACATTCTTACATGAGTTTCAAAACAAAGACAAAACAAAACACCGGCCGTGGCTATGAGCTCCTGGACAAGGGTCTTTGTGAAGCCGGTTTCCTTTCCCCATTTGAAGAGGGGCTTTTCCTCTGCTCCCCCACCCTCACAAACATTGATACCATACCTCATGGTGAGGTCGGATGGATGCTGCCATCTGTGATCCTGGGTTTGGTACTCTCTGCTGGCAACCTTATTCATCAGAGCGTACAACTCATGTAATGCATCTGCAATTCAGCAAAGGAAGGAGTTAATGGGAGATCAGGCATGCCACATGAGGCTAGATAAAAGACAGTAGCAGAGTGGGAACTCTGGTCCCAGCTCCTAATGTGGGTCCTGGTCTTACACCATGGGACAGACAGAGTCTTCCAGAAAGACATGTCCATTGTCAAGGGCACTCGAGCTTCCAGGGAAATGTTGCAGACACCTGCTCCTGACATAAGTAGAATATTACTTGCTAGGAAGCTTTCCAAGTAGCAAACTCCGCTCCTCCCTGTACGGATCCATTTGCACGTCTATGAGCAGAGTGTAGCAAGAGACACCTTTATCCACCATCACTTAGCTCTGACAAGGATGTAACATTATTGATCATACAGCCGCATAGCCTACCGCTCAGAACAAGCCCTTTCAGTAGATCAGGCATTCTCTAATGGCCTTGCACCAGGAATCCTCGGCAAGAGAATGCAACGGACAGTCTGGCAAGGTCCGTGAGCGTGCGTGGCCAGATCACAAAAGGGGGAAGTCAGCCGTTCAAAGCGTATCTGCAACGCTTGTATTTTGCCCACTGCATGTGTCAGCGCGTGGACGTGCAAGTGAGACTCCTGCACACTCCTTGCGACACACGCTACTGTGGAAGTCCGTTATGACGTTGCTAGCAAGAGACAACAGTGGCCTTCCTCAGCCAATGTGAACACTGGTAGTTTTCCATCTAGCTACTGCAGCCATGTTGCTAACACTGCAAGTGGCTCGACCGGGTACCCTCCTCCATTCCCCAGCAAGGAACTGTCTACGGAGGGCCTCTGTACAGACCAGCCCCACCTCTCCTTCATCCACTGGGACATTCGCTTCTGTTTGCAAAGACCTGTCCTGAGTCGGACAAGGGCCATTCTTTTTCAACAGCACACTTCCCAAAGACGACTCTTTGGACGTCCACGCTCAAGCCAAAGCGCCAAGAGGGCTGACAAAATGCAGAGACCCATCAGGCATAAGCTGCCGAGCCGCTCAATTCAGACAGCAACCCAGCATTTCAATCTATTTAGAGTAGATGAGAAGTCACTGGAAGATTTGTGATTTCTCCCAGTTGATCTACCACAAGTTCTTACTCTTTCTACCCCTGACAACGTTCCTGCCAATCTTTCCCATCCATGTGCAGAATAAATGTTGTTGCCTGCACTGAAGCATGTGCGAATGTGCACCACCGCTCAATTCAGACAGCAACCCAGCATTTCAATCTATTTAGAGTAGATGAGAAGTCACTGGAAGATTTGTGATTTCTCCCAGTTGATCTACCACAAGTTCTTACTCTTTCTACCCCTGACAACGTTCCTGCCAATCTTTCCCATCCATGTGCAGAATAAATGTTGTTGCCTGCACTGAAGCATGTGCGAATGTGCACCACCAGTAGAAATACAAAACCTAGTTGTGAGCACTCTGCTAGTCAGCTGGGCAGCATCTGAATTTCTCCTGAGTGGCCGCACAAGCACCACGCTTACAGAAAACCCTGCCCCTCACTGAGTGTCTTCTTCTTTCCCTGTTATCTCCTCCCCCAAAACCATGTGCCACGCAGGGCTGAGGCAACTGACAGCTGATTGCTGTTCTCAGATGCTGGGTGAGATCACAGAGGTGCTCCGGCCAGATCTCCTTACTCACCAAAAGCCTGAGTATGCTGGAGCAGTAACAGAGGACAGGTGCAGCGCGGTGGAGCTTTGTGTACAGCAACCACAGATTAGGGGAATGTAATTGTCTGTTCAGCTGGTTTTCCTCCTGCTTTGCCCCAGCGTGATGTAAAGCCAGGAGAAAACTTCAGAATCAGTTTTATTTATAAAAGACAGAAATTGGTGACTGATCTTTTCCATACGGCTCCTCTGCCCACCCCTCACTCCCTCAGGGACAGGGCGGGGTTTTTCCCTCCAGTGCAACGTCTCAAAAGTGTCATAGCATGGGCTAGG